TGTTGTTTCCTGACTTACTAATTTTAGCCATTCTGACTGGAGTGAGGCAGTATCTCATTGTGGTAACCGATTTGTATTTCCCTGATGCTGAGTAATGTTGAGCATTTTTTCACGTGTCTGTTAGCCATAAGAGAGAGAATCTTAAGCAGGCTCCACACTGGGTGTGGGGCATGATCTCATGACCTGAGCCAAAATCAAGTGTCAGGCACTTAACCGACTGAGCTACCCGGGTAGGTGCCTCAGCAGCTTTCATTTCTTGGCTGCTTTACATTTTATCCATGAGGTCATTTGAAATGGCCTATATTTCTCATTAAGCCACTTTTTCATCACTTTCAACATATTCTTAAAAAAAAAAAAAGGCTTATTAAAAAAAATCTTAGTATTTTGTCATGCTGGGATGGTTCTGTAAAGTAATGGAAAGTTTGGATAAAACATCCATCTCTCAGGAGACAGTGACAAAAAAGTAAGATTGCTTCTGGATATCATAGTGTGTCAAGGTAAATCTAGACTGGAGACTGAGACCATCTATCTTTTTCACTTTAAGTATATGGGAATAATACAATGGTGAAAAATTTGGCATTGTCGGTATACAATCAATAACGTGACTTGCAAAGCTTGGATAACACAGATACTACATTAAGGGTCAGCTGCAGTCATCATTTCTTATGCCTTGTGGGATCTTAGGAATTCCAGATGGTCTTTTCTCTCGGGTACTGGTTAATTGGGTTTTAGTGTGGCAGTGGTTTAAACCTTAGTATTGGTGGACACTTTCATTCAGAATAAATGGCAAAAGATTAAAAAAAAAAAGCATTAAATGATTGCAGACACCATCTACTAAACTCTGAATTACGGTTTTGTTTCCTATACCAAGCAAGTTTCTCTGTTGACTAAATGAGAAGGATATTCTAGCTAACTTAAGCAGGAAAGGGATTTATTGGAAGGATGTTATATAGCTCACAGAATTGATAATAAGGATGGAGAAATAGGCTCAGAAAATAGGAAGGAACCAAAGGCAATTGAGAATTGGTCTGTGCTCATGCCAAAGGAAAAGTTTAATTAGAAGGCCAGTTCTGTTTCTATGATTAAGTTGTTCCTGTATCTGTATTACCCCTTCAAGGTTGAAATTCCTTTGTGGCAGCATCCCATTGACAACCTAGAGCAGCAGTTCTCTTGTTTCCAGCTTATAGGGCGGTGTCTTAGGTCAAAACTTTTTATAACAATTCTTATAACACTTGCCATTTGCACTGTTGATTGTTGAAGCGATGGTAAGCAAAAGTTATGGTGCCTTAGCATGGATTAAGGCAATAGCACATATATACATCTCATATATATATATATATATATATATATATATATATGATATATATGTATTTGTGTATGTATGTATATTATATATATAACATATAAATTTTGTGTATAGTTTAGAGCTCCATCTTGTTCATTTGGCCAGATGTCACTGGGTATTTTCAGAGCTGTTTTATCAGCAAGTTGATAATGTAGTGATAATGTAGTGTGAGAATATCATTACTGGAATATATTGCCTGGGTATGAATCCTAACTTCCCCACTTAACTAGCTGTGAGATGCTGGGCAACATTTAACCTGTCTAAGCTCCAGTTAATTCTTCTGTAAAATGGGGATGATAATGATAGTTAGAAATAGCATGAGGATTAAATAAGTTAATACAAATAAATAATTTAGAACAATGTATGGCTTATAATAAATATTTAGTAAATGTTAATTTTCATTATTATAATTATTGTTGGGGAGGAAAAATTTTTCTCTGCTTTTGAAGGTTCTTTAGTCTAAGAATTTTTTTTTTTAAAGCTTTTATTTATTTATTTGAGAGAAAGAGAGCACAAGCGGGGGAGTGGCAGAGAAAGACGGAGAAGCAGGCTCCCTGATGAACAGGGAGCCGGATTTGGGGCTTGATCCCAGGACCCTGGTATCATGACCTGAACAAAGGCAGATGCTTAACTGACTGAGCCACTCAAGCGCCCCGGAGCTGGTCTGAGAATTAAATTAACATGAGACAGATTGACAGGAGAAAATCAAATTAATTACCTATAGGGAATCCACATAATTATGAGATTTTAAAGACAGCCAGGCAAAATGAGGTATATATGTCATCCTGAACTTAGGAGAAAGGGGTAGGAAAGCAATTCACAGGAAGATGAAAAAGAGTAAATGTTCGGTAAACAAATGTTGGGCCCTGTAGAAACAATAGGAACAATAAGTTATAGAGAGGACTTTAATCAGAGATCAAAGTTTGCTTAAGTTCTTCCCTGTCTACTGCTCTGAGTTCATATTATAATGTGGTTTTCTATAGTGATAGCTCTCTTCCTGGAGCAGGCCCTTTAATCTAAGTTCTTTTAGGCATTTAGGGGAAGGTCAGAGTTTCTGTGTCTTTTGGGCCTTGATTATTTTTGTTTTTAGCTCAAAATAATCTGAATGTCCAAGTGGCATATCTGGGGACAACTAATTCATTCTGAACCCCCACATTGTCATGTTTTCAAATCTGGTCTCTGACAAGGTGGTCACAAGAGAAGGGACCATAGATATGAATCTGAGCTGTTTGGTTTTTGTAGAGCTGGTTAACTGATTCATCAGGTTAAGATATTGATCTGGAAGTATGAACTACTGGTTTTATTTTATTTATTATTATTATTTGTTTATTAAGATTTTATTTATTTATTTGACAGAGAGCAAGAGAGGGAACACAGCAGGGGGAGTAGGAGAGGGAGAAGCAGGCTACCTGCTGATCAGGGAGCCCGATGCGGGGCTCGATCCCAGGACCCTGGGATCATGACCTGAGCCAAAGGCAGACACTTAACGACTGAGCCACCCAGGCACCCCTATTACTATTTTTTAAGATTTTATATACCTGAGATAGAGTGAGAAAGAGTGAGAGAGCACAAGTTGTGGGGAGGGGCAGAGGGAGAGGGAGAAGCAGGCTCTCCACTGAGCGGGGAGCCTGCTGTGGGGCTCCATCCCAGGATCCCGAGATCATGACCGGAGCCAAAGGCAGACACTCAACTGACTGAGCCATCCAGGCGCTCTTGCTACTGGTTTTAGATTTAAAATGTATAATGTGAGCTTTTCCATCATGTTTCCTACTAGTTGTATGTCAGCCGGGGCCAATGTAGAACAAAAATGAACAAATTGCAAACAAATATTCAAGAATAAAACTTGAGAAAAACATATCCTACTTAGTTTGATAGTGATTTTTTCTTTGCAGACAGGTACAAATGATGATTTTTTTTTTTTTTTTGGTATATACAGAAGCTGTAAAATAATATATTTCTTTAAGTATTTAATCTTGTTTAGTCATTATTTGACAAATATGAAGACCACATCTTTTGTTAATATCTGAGTTTTTTTCCTTAAAAGACTTTTTTTTTTTTTTTTTTTAGGGCAGGGCTATGACTTGAGTTTTTAGCTCCAGCTGATAACACAGTATCTGAAATGGGATACGTTCATAGCTAATTTTTGCTGAATAAGTAATATATTTTCATGTGGAGTCATATTTTCTACTCTGCTTGAAAATTATTTTCAGAAGAGTATGCTTTGTGGTGACTATAGTTTATAATACTTTACTGCATATTTGAAATTGCTAAGAGAGTAGGTCTTAAAAGTTGTCATAAAAAATTTTGTAACTATGGTGAGGGATGTTAACTAGACTTACTGTGATCACTTTGCAATATATGCAAATAGTGAATCATATTGTACACATGTCAGTTATATCTCAATTAAAAAAGGAGGCTGTTAAAAAAATGAGTATGGCTTCACTAAATACAGTGCAAATTCATGGGGTATTGCAAGGAGCTGTCACAGTATATTGCAATGGTGGGTGGATGTGAGGTGGGATGGGGAAAGGAAGGATAAAATGTGCTGGAGAATACTCTCTCAGACATGCAGCTGAGTATAGGTGGATGATATAATTGAACCTTTGATTTTTTTGTTTTGTTTTGTTTTGTTTTAAATGTCCTGCTCTCCTCAAAATCCTGTTTTATTAGTATACTGGCTAAGCCTCCAGATGCCTGCACAAGACAGGAAACTGTCTTGTCCTTAGGCCTTGCTGTCTGGATAGTCTTTATTGTATTTTGTATTTAGGCATAACCCCTGGCTGTGGCCAAGTGAACACTAGAAAACTAAACCAAGAAGAGTTAATTATAGCTTGATAGGAAGAGATCATCAGCTGGGTTAATCAAATTTTTCTCTGGAGATTTAAAAAAAATTCAGAATGTGGAGAGATGGAGACATCTGTGGGGACAAAAACTGAAACAGTGTATTAGGAAATATATTGAGGTAAACATGATAAGATGTGTTACCATGTGATATGGAGAAGCAAAAATATGAGAAATTAGAGATAGCCATTTAATAATAGTGGAACCGAAAGGGACAGATATTTGGAATTAAGCTGTATAATTAATAAGGAGAGCAATAGAGAAAAGATTGCCTCTTTGAGTAATTGATTCAATCCTTTATTTAACAATAATTTATTGAATTACTTACTGCTATGTACCAGACACTGTTCTACCCCAAGAGTACTGCTCCGGAAAAGAGTTAAGCCAGTGGGGCGCCTGGCTGGCTCAGTCGGTAGAGCATGTGCCTCTTGATCTGAGGGTCCTGAGTTAGATTCCCATGTTGGGTGTGGAGCCTACTTAAAAAAACAAAACAAAACAATAACAAACAAAAACAGTTAAGCTAGTGATTCTCAACTGGCTGTGATTTTTGCCTACCAGATAATATTTGGCAATGTTTAGAGACATTTTGGTTGTCACAGCTTGAAAGGGGGTGCTATTTGTATTCTAATGAGTAGAGGCCAGGGATGCTGCTAAATGCAATGCACAGAATAATTCTTAAAAAAATAAATAAATAATCTGACTCAAAATGTCAGTAATGCTGAAATTGAGACCCCCTGGGATAAGCCATCATAAGTATGTATTTCACAGAATAATTATTATCTTGTAGTTAACATTTAACTTTCTTTGTTTTCAGAAGTGAGGAAGTTTACTGGAGTAAAATGGAGGCCTCAGTAATATTACCCATCCTGAAGAAAAAACTTGCGTTCCTTTCAGGTATGCTTTCTTCTTAAAATTGGAAGTGTTTGATGTATAGTTTTGTTTAAACTTTTTTCTTTGATAAGTTTGACAGAAATGCATTTTTATGTGAAGGTTTCATTTCAGAGACCTCTTTTAATCAAAATGGATAGCTGTGTGAGCCACCTTCGTCACTGTTGGTACTTGGCAGGCCAATATTTATTCTGTAATTGATTAAAATGACCTGTACAAGGTAGACATCATATCTTTTTATATAAAAATGAAATTATATGGGCCAAGAATAATTGACTAACCAGCACCTAAATAATTGTTTTTGAAATATGAATTGGTTTTTATGATATCCTGCATCCTAGCTTTCATCTTCCATCTTCCTGTGAGATAGTTTCAGTGCACTTGTGGGAGTTAGGAAATATCAGTTACATGGTTTTCACTTTTTACTGTTCGAACTGGGTTATACAGGCTTGAATTTATCTCTGGTTATTAACCTAAAGTATGTATCAGCTAAGAATCAAAGAGAAGCTGCAAGATACTTTATTAGTGTGAGAGCAGGGACATGGTACATTGGGTATAGCAATTTTCTGGAATTAAGGATCATTGAGTAAATTTGCACATGCTTTGGAATAGGTACTCTGGCCTGCTTGTTTAGGGTTACTTGGACTTTTTTTATCTTGCTTTTTATTTCTTTTTTTCTTTAGATCCTATCATAATTGTCTTGATCATTAAGCTACCAACATCCTTTTTTAAAAGTATATTGTATCTCTCTTTGTTTTTATTTTATTCTAAAGATTTTTATTTATTTGAGAAAGAATGATAGAGAGCATGAGAGGGGGAAGGGTCAGAGGGAGAAGCAGACTCCCTGCTGAGCAGGGAGCCCGATGCATGACTCTATCCCGGGACTCCAGGGTCATGACCTGAGCCAAAGGCAGTCGCTTAACCAACTGAACCACCCAGGCACCCTTGTATCTCTCTTTGAATTGGTATGTTTTTCTAGTGTAGCTTATAAAGGACAAAATAAGATATTGAATTCCACTAGTATTCTTGTTTCCTTATTTAATGTATTTCCTTTTTTAAAATACAACTTCTTTCCTTACCAGTTGACACTTATGTTTTCTCCATTCTTTTCTGTTATTAATGGTGTTACAGGAAACGTTCTTATTCATCGTTCGTGTGCTTTGTACAAGTTCAGCAGTATAAATTCCCATAAGTGGAGCTGTTAAAGAGAATTTACATTTAAATTTGTGTTAGGTTTTGTTGGATTACCCTCTAAGAATATTGTTTCAATTTCTGTTTCTCCCACCAGTGTAAGAAGTTTGCCCACACTGTTGCCAAGAGTGGGTATTATTATTCTTCGGTAATCTTTATCAGTGACATTTTTGCATCTTTATGACACTTATCTATGTGCAGCATTTCACTCTGTTGGCCATATTTACTTTTTTAAAAAAGATTTTATTTATTTATTTACAGAGAGGGTGTGGGCGTGTGCAAGGGCGGCGGGGAGAGAATCCTTGAGCAGACTCCCCGTTGAACATGCAGCCAGTCTTGGGGCTTGATCTCAGGACCCTGAGTTCATGACCTGAGCTGAAACCAAGAGTCAGTTGCTTAACTGACTGAGCCACCCAGGCGCCCCAGCCATATCTATCTTGAAGCTCTTTTTTTCTCTTGGCTTCTGCCCTCTTTTTCATTTACTCTAGTAATTATTTTATTGTTCCTTGGTGAAAGCTGAGGAGATGAGGTTAAATGTAGTCCTGAATGTTAGAACTGTCCTCTGAAGACAAGTCCACAGTGGGTCAGAATGCTGCAGTTCAGGTATGAACCTTTTTGCACATTTGGTTTAATGCAGGCATAAAGCTTAGCAATTTTTGAGGAGCAAATGAAATTTCCCCTAGCCCACCCTTCTTGACTTTCTCTATTGACTATTAATTATTTCAATGAATAATTTTCACCTTTTTTTAGTAATAGAGAAAAACTTTCCAAACCAAAATCATTTGGGGGGTTCAGCTTGAAAACTATGGGTGCAATCCATTTATTGAGAGAGAGAGAATGAGAGAGAGCATGAGAGGGAGGAGAGTCAGAGGGAGAAGCAGACTCCCCACCGAGCAGGGAGCCCGATGTGGGACTCGATCCCAGGACTCCAGGATCATGACCTGAGCCGAAGGCAGCCGCCCAACCAGCTGAGCCACCCAGGCGCCCGGTGCAATCCATTTAAAAAAAATAAAACCTGAACAAAAACCATGAGTAGTTGAAGTCACTGTTGATTACCTATTAAGTTCAACCATTCGAAATTTTATTTATTCAGATTAAACAAACTGGTTGAATATTATTAATTTATATGGTTAATCTAATAAAAGAAAATCATTTGTGGTTGGTCCATCATGAATTGCCCTCATGTCACTCATAGTAGTTGTTTTTTCACTTCACAGCTTTCAGTTTTTAGTGATAGATTTCTAGAGATCATACAGAATTTTTACCTTTAATATTTGCTGTTTTTTAAGCTTCTAAAATTGCCGTAAATGTCAGTTGTGTCAGAGAATGGACTTCAGTGTCATAGTCAGTCACATGGGGAACTTTCAAAGAAGATATGTGTGTATAAAAGTATTAGTTAGATTTTAATGCTTATGGGAGATTGAAGAGGGCTTGAGCATCCACAAAATGCGAGTATGTTCCAGTGCCTGGCTTTTAGGCTTCTACAGCCAGGTCCCATGTGCTCTTTTTAGCTGGGCAGGTCTTTGTCTTTCTTGCCTTGTGAATAGAAGTCCTGTCTGACTTCTGTGAGTTCACTCAGATCATTGCTCATCACAGAATACTCTAATACTCTTTTAACTTGGTTTATAAATTCTACCCATTTTTTTAAGTCTTAACTTTTCTACAAAGCTTTTCACCTTTATCACAGCTCTTATCATTTTCTCATTTTTCTAAATCCTTTTTTGTAATACTTTATATGTATACAACACACCCTAGAAGATAAACTCATATTTCATAACTGTTATTTCTTAGGATGTAAAGCCTTTCTTCCTGGGTTGACTGGAAATTTACTTTACTTGTTAATGCTTACAGTGCCAGGTGTACAGTAGGTGCTCGATGAATTGATCACATTAAGCAGCCTAAATGGAAGAAAATTAAACAAAATGATAATTGCTGTGTTTAAGTGAAGATTTCATGGGTGAATTTTTTTCTCTTATTCTTTCTAAATTTGGTATAATTTTGCTATATTACTCTACACATTTATAATATATAAAATAAGCAGCTATTAGATAGTTCTTTTTACTTATATCTTAAATACTATTTGTTTTAGTAACATTGGACCCAAACATATTTATTTAGTGCTTTAATATCTATTACATGTTGTATTTATATCTTTTTTTTTTTCTAATAGGAGGAAAGGACAGACGGAGTGGCCTCATTCTGACAATTCCATTATGCCTGGAACAGACAAATATGGATGAGCTGAGTGTTACCTTAGACTACCTACTCAGCATTCCAAGGTGACTCTAAAGGTGTCTTTTTAAAAATCTTGATATGTTGTCATTCACTTACTAATGTTTCCTGTTATTAAGATGTATGTTGCTATGTCACCTGCTTTTATTAGTGAAATTATAATTAAAAACACTAGAATCAATCATTTCTGTTATAACAGCAGATAAAAGAATTATTGTATGCTCTTAAGGCACTGGATAATGTGATACAGATTTCCAAAATGTATGCACTGTCAACTTTTAAGGAACACAAAGACAGAGCATCTCTGTACCATGCAACTTGAGAAAACATAGAGAAGTGAATTTAGTAGAAAGCGTCTTTTATTTAAATAACTATTTCACTATATAGATATAAACCTGTAGGTTTTAATATACTGAGTAAAGGCTATTAGGAATTCAAAGCATTTTTATTTTAAAAAATGGAAAAAATATTTATGTTTTAATTGAAGATCCTTGGATTTTGTATTTCTTGGGTGAAGACAAAACAAACTTTTCTTGTTGCTTGAGCCTCCCTATCACTTCAACAACAAAAATAAGCTCCCTTCCCAATTTCCTCTTCCATATGTGATATTTGGAGGCTAAAGTCTTACTGCATGTTAGAATCATCTGGAGATTTTTTTTTTTCAAAATTCTTATGCTCTCACTGGGTGTTATGCACAAACAATGAATCATGGAACACTACATCAAAAACTAATGATGTAATGTATGGTGATTAACATAACAATAAAAAAATTTAAAGATTAATAAAAAAAAAAATTCTTATGCTCTCCAGGCTCTTGGGAGGTCTGCTCATCAGATGTTTTTTTAAAAAAATCTTTTAATGGGGTGCCTGGCTGGCTCAGTTGGTGGAGCATATAACTCTTGATCTTGGGGTTGTGAGTTCAAGCCCCACACTGGGTGTAGAAATTACTTAAAATCTTTAAAAAAAAATCCTTCGGGTTTCTGGGTGCCTCAGTTGGTTAAACGTCTGACTTTTGATTTTGGCTTGGGTCATAATCTTGGGGTCCTGGGATCAAGCCCTCTGTCGGGCTTCCCGTTCAATGTGGAGTCTGCTTGGGATTCTCTTTCTCTTTCTCCCTCTGGCCACCCCCACCCCCCCGCTCATGTTCTCACTCTCTCTAATAAGTGAATAAAATCTTTAAAAAAAAAAGTCCTTTATAATCCTTTAAGCTTCCCAGGTAATTCTTATTTGCAGTCAGATTTGCAGTCTGCTATAATAAAGAATGCGAATGAGGACAGACCTTTTTGTTTGTAAAGTATAGAGGTGGTTTTGGAACAAAACTCTCTCTTATTTAATGCTCTTGAGGTCCAGATAATGATTTTTAAACATTTTAGTCAGAACAGTTCTTTGTATTCTTCCTGTATTTGCATTACTGATAAAATGGATTATTTCGTTTTAAACCACCTTGCAGAGTTATAGGGTTAAAACTATATTTTAGAACCACTGACTTTAAATCATACCTGCTTCCAGTATTGGCCTGTAATTTAATGATTCTCTTGCTGATTGTTTTTTTCTGTATTGGGGAAATAGAAGTCTTCAAGTGAGAATTTCCAATTTTTTTTTTTTACTTTCTGGGAAGGAAAGTTAGCAAAACTGACAGTGTGCTGTGTTAGTATTGAATAACCTTCCTAATCCTTTGAGCTGAATGCTAGTTTGTATCATTCACCATTAGATAACAAACTATTTCTAGGTAAATGATACCAGCTAGACATACAGCTAACACATTCTGAAAAAGTATGTATGATTCATAGATTGTTACATGTGATTAGTGAACTTAGGGCGATCTGAACCAACTGCCTTATGTAGATGAGGGAATTGAGACTCAAGTTATAGTTACTTGCCCAGGATTATACAGCTAGTTAGTAGTAGAGCTGGGACTAGAATCTGTCATTGCTGACACCAATCCAGAGCTCTTCATATTTCAAATGAATAGAGTTTAGTATAGTTGAATCTTAGGTGAGGTGAGGTTCTGAAGTTGGAATGTACTGTACCAATTAGTGATAGAATTATCCATGAAAAATGCCTAAGCAGGGATTAGAGGTTAGAGACTTACAGACTTTTTTCATGAACATGCTAGGTTTTCCTCTAGTGACGCTGGAGGAACATGTCACTGAGGCTAAGTTCCAGAAGACACATTCAGCTTGTGGTTAAGTTTGTATTAAAAAAATGCATCCTTATGGGGTGCCTGGGTGGCTCAGTCTCTTCAGGTCTTCTGCCTGTTTTTTAATCATATTACTTTTTTTTCATGTTGAGTTGTAGAAGTTCTTTGTATATTTTTGATATTAATCCCTTATTGGATATATCACTTGCAAATAGCTTCTCCTAGGTTGCCTTTTTGTTTTGTTGATGATTTCCTTTGCTGTGCAAAAGCTTTTTATTTTGGCATAGTCCCAGTAGTTTTTGCTCTTGTTTCCCTCGTCTGAGAAGACATATCCATAAGTATGTTGCTAAAGCCAATGTACAAGATTATTTTTTAAATTTCTCTTTCTTCTATGTTGTTATTAGTGTATAGAAAAGCAACCAATTTCTTTGTATCTTACAACTTTACTGATTTCATTTATTACTTCAAATAGTTTTTTGGTGGCATCCTTAGAGTTTTCTGTATATGACATCTTCAGATAATGACAGTTTTACTTCTTTCTTAACAGTTTGGGTATCTTTTATTTCTTTTTCTTGTTTGCTGACTTCCAGTACTATGCTGAACAAAAGTGGTGAGAGTAGACATCCTTGTCTTGTTCCTGATCTTAAAGGAAATGCTTTCCATTTTTCACCATTGAGTATGATGTTAGCTGTGGGTTTTTCTTATATGGCCTTTATTATGTTGAGGTATGTTCCCTCTAAATCCACTTTGTTGATAATGTTTATCATGAACAGATGTTGTGTTTTGTCAGATGCTTTTTCTGCATCTATTGACATAATCATGCAGTTTTTATCCTTTCTCTTGTTAATGTCATGGTATGACATCGATTGATTTGCAAATATCAAACTGTCCTTTCATCCCTGGAATAAATCTTACTTGGTCATGCTGAATAATCCTTCTACTGTATTATTAAATGTGCTTTGCTTATATTTTGTTGAGGATTTTTGCATCCACAGTCTTTAGGCATATTGGCCTGTATTTTTCTTTTTCTGTATTATCTTTGTCTGGTTTTGGTATCAGGATAATGTTGGCCTTACAGAATGAATTTGGAAGTTTCCCTTCCTCTTCTATTTTTTAGAATAGTTTGATAAGAATGGGTATTAACTCCTTAGATATTTGGTTGAATTTACCTGCGAAGCCATCTTGTCCTGGACTTTTGTTTGGGAGTTTTTTGATTACCAATTCAATTTTGTTACTAGTAATCAGTATGTCCATATTTTCTGTTTCTTCCTGATGCAGTTTTAGAAGATTGTTTCTAGGAGTTGATCCATTTCATCTAGGTTGTTTAATTTGTTGGCATATAATTTTTTATAGCATTATTTCCTAATTCTTCATATTTCTGTGGTGTCAGTTGTCCTCCTTTATCCTTTCTGATTTTATTTATTTCAGTTCCCTTTTTTTTGATTAGTCCAGCTAAAGGTTTATCAGTTTTATCTTTTTAAAGAATCAGCTCTTCGTTTCTTTGACCTTTTCTAATTTTTTTATAGTCTCTATTTATTTCCACCCTCATCTTTATCATTTCCTTCCTTCTGACATTGGGTTTTATTTGTTCTTTTTCTGGTTCCTATAGGTGTAAGATTAGATTGTTTATTTGAGATTTTTCATGTTTCTTGAGGTAGGTTTGTATCATTAAGAACTTCCGTTTTAGAACTGCTTTTGCTGCATCCCAAAGATTTTGTACTGTTGTGTTTTTGTTTTATTTGTCTTCATGTATTTTTTTATTTTCTCTGATTTCTTCATTGACCCATTGGTTGTTTAGTAGCATGTTGGCTTCCGTGTGTTTGTGTTTTTTCTAGTTTTTTTCTTGTAATTGATTTCTAGTTTCATACTGTTGTGGTAGAAAAAGATGCTTTATATGTCAGTCTTCTTAAATTTATTGAGACTTGTTTTGTGACCTAACATGTGATCTATCCTGGAGAATGTTCCATGTGCATTTGAAAAGAATATGTATTCTGCTGTTTTTGGATGGATTGTTCTGTATATATTTTTTAGGTGCATCTGGCCTAATGTGTCGTTGTTTCCTTGTTAGTAATTATATTCACATGATCTATCCACTGATGTAAGTGGGTTATTAAAGTCCTCTACTATTATTGCATCACTGTCAGTTTCTCCCTTTATGTCTGTTAAAATTTGTTATATGTACTTAGATGCTCTTATGTTGGGTGCCTAGATGTTTATAATTGTTACGTTCTCTTGTTGAATAGATCCTTTTATCATTATGTAATGGCCAGTGTTGTCTCTCGCTACAGTCTTTCTTTTAAAGTCTATTTTGTCTGGGCGCCTGGGTGGCTCAGATGGTTAAGCATCTGCCTTTGGCTCTCCTGGGATCGAGTTCCTCATTGGGCTCCCTGCTCTGTGGGGAGCCTGCTTTTCCCTCTGCCTCTGCCTCTGCCTCTCTCTCTCTCTCTCTCTCTCTCTCTCTCTCTCTCTGACGCTCATGAATAAATAAACAAAACATTAAAAAATAAATAAATAAATAAAGTCTATTTTGTCTGTTGTAAGTATTGCTGTCCCAGCTTTTTTTTCTTTTTTGCTTCCTTCTGCCTGGAATATCCTTTTCCATCCTTTTACTTTCAGTCTGTATGTGTCTAGGTCAGAAGTGAGTCTTTCGTAGGCAGCTTTTTTTTTTTTTTAATTAGTTTAGTCACCCAATGTCTTTTGATTAGAGCATTTAGTCAATTTATATTTAGAGTAATTTTGATAGGTATATACTTAATTGCCATTTTGTTAATTGTTTTCTGGTTGTTTTTGTAGTTCTTGTCTATTCCTTTCTTCTCCTGCTCTCTTGTGATTTGATGGCTTTCTGTAGTGTTCTGCTTGGAATCCTTTCTCTTTATTCTTTTGTTTATCTATTATAGGTTTTTGATT